GAATAAACAATGCTCCATTACCCTTTTTCCATTGTCAGATTTGTAGAAGCAGTGAAAGCACCTACAATAACAACAACAACAACAACAGCATACAAGATCACATTCAAACCATCAACATAAAGAATTAATTTATACAAACATGCAAATATTCTTTCTTTTATTGTAGTATGGAGCAATCCTCCCAGTTCTGCTCTCAACAACCACCAAACGGCTTGTCCTTCCTCTTCCTAACAAGCTTGCTTCCAATAAAGCTCTTGCACTTAGGATTACTTTATTAAGCACAAAGTTTAAAGTACACCATTCAGCTGATGAAAAAAAAAAAAAAAAAAAAAAAAAAAAAAAAAACAGATGCTATGGTTTAAGCCCATTTGGCCAATAGGGACATGCAGCCAGCACCAAGCAGAAGAGAAATATTGACTGCAATTTGAAGCCCTCTATTGGTTTGAACCTTTGTGTTCATGAAATCAGCGGCAAGAAGATCCACAAGAGACATATATATTAAGATCCCGGCTGATGCTGCATTAAAAATCCCTTCAACAATTAGAGCTGTGGGACTATTCTCATTGTACACATTTGATATTCCTATCCCGATCGCTATTCCAACTGGGGTTGTCAATGAGAAGAACAACACCATAATTGCAATCGCTCTAGACTTGAATTTTGCCTACATAAATCAAACCAATTATAATAATTCAGATGTGTCTCTTGGGAAACCAAAGGGTCAAATTGAAGGACCAGGACTCTGATCTCATGGAAGTTTAAATAATACCTGAGCGATACAACCTCCCAGCCCCATGCCTTCAAAGAACTGGTGGAAAGTCAAGGCAGCTATCAGAGGCCTTATAGTTTTTGGACTTTCGGAAGCACCCAAGGAAATCCCTATTATCACTGAGTGCACTACAATTCCCAACTCCAAAACCTATCATCAAGATTCATATCATACACACAAATTTTTGTTAGAGTGGACCAAAATAAAAACTAATCACACACTAATATTTTTGTCCATTAATATTTTTGTCAAAGTGGGCTAACATCCAGATATTATATACATTAGTATTTTTTTAAATAAAATTGAGCGTGGGCCATCCGCCCCTGATATCATAACTATAACCATATGATATGATAGTATTGTTAACAGATTCAAAATCAAACCTGAGATATGATACGATGTCTAAGAAGCTCTGAATCAGCCGAAGGGATGGCACCATGAGAGTGTCCATGAGTTCCATGAGTATGAACATGAACATGATCTTCATGCGGTTGAACCATCTCTTCATCTCCAGGAAAGTTTCCGGGTTTAGACTTATTGAAGTGAGACTTGGTGTAGTAAGAAGTTGCAGAAGCATCCACCATCAGAGTTCCAATCGTTGCCATCATCGCAACAAATCCTGTAAAAGGGAACTTTCCCCATGGATTTTCATTCAAACATGGCGATGTCAAATTCTCGAACGCATCAGGAAGAACGTGGATGAACCCAGTTGAGAGTATAACTCCTGCAGCAAAGGCCTTGATCACGAAGAAAGTATTCTTTTCCGGACGTAAAGCTTCAAAGGATTTTCCCAGAATCGGAAGACAAACTCCAATAGCTCCTGCAACAAGAATCGAGGCGATGGCTCCAAATTTGTATTTGAGTGCCTGAGTCTTGTCGCGGTCTTCTTCATCAATATCACATGTGCACTCTCCAAGAATCAAGGAAGGAAGAACTAAAAAGATGACAATACAAGCAAAAAGCTTGTAAAGTGGAAGATGACGATCAAGAAAGTTGATGCTCATAATTTAGAACTTCGAAGAATGAGGATTATGATAACATAAAATGGTCCAAAACTATGTCCACTATATTTATAGAAGAAAGAGAAATTCAGATTCTGTAATTCTTTATATGATGATATCCATGGTGAAATCATATAGGAAGTAATACTAAAATTGAAGTTGACTGTGAGACTTTAGGAAATTGCATAGTAAACAAAAAGATGTGGAAACATGTCGACATAATAAGCTCCAAATAAGAAATTTCAAATCATTCCCATTGAAGTCTATGGTTAAAATAGTAAAGTCAACTACAAAATGTCGAAATTATGTGTAATGGTTTAGTAGCATCGAATTTTCCAGCTGGCTGGCTATCTATATCTTAAAAATCTTTATTAATTAGCCTTTGTATTTTACAATTGCTTGGTGTACAATTCGACGTCTGTTAACTTTAAAAATTAATAAAAACACCCTAGTCACCCAATGGGCCAACCGACCACCGTCAGACGGCAGCCAACAGTCATTGGAATGGTGTACAACAGGTTGGATTTGGCCAATCAGGCGTCGATATGGCCTTTTTCTACCAGATTCATCGTGCATCTGGCCATCGTTAACAGCCAAAATCTATCCATCAATGACGACCAAAATTTGGCAGTCATCAACAGTCAGATAGATCTAGCCGTTAACAATCAGATCTAGCCATCAACGGTTAGATCTCTGACCATAGATCTAGTCGTTTCCGACTAGATCTATGATGGATCTGGTCAGAAACGGCCAGATCGGTGCACGATCGGTCAGATCTAATTAGTCGTGTACCATTCTGACGTCGACAGCAATACTGACGATTAACGGTGGTTGCTAGCAGGCAGCAGTGGTCTTGGGTGAATTAATTTTCATATTATAAGGAGTGAACGGTAATTGTTTTGTATTTTGCATCTGGGTAATTTACCGCGATTATTCTAAATACTAAACTTTAGGATCTAAGGCTTGGATATTGGCTATTTATACCCAATTGTGAAAAACATTGAAGCTTTTCTCCTTCACATCTTTTGTTTTCTGTTACTTCTTTGTTTTCTACTCATACTTGAAACCGCATGCTTTCAATTCATTAACAAATACAAATTATTAATTTCTTCTATGAATTATTTCAAATTATGGCTTTTTACTGGGAATTTATAGAGATTTTTTTTTTTTTTTTTTTTAATTCAGAAATCTCTCGAACTCATTTTACAAACTCAAACTCAAAACTAAACCCCCTAAATATTTGTTTTCAGCCAACCCCCGAATGTGTATGAACGAACCACAAATTGTCAAATTCATCCAACTAACCCTTTATGTTTAAAATAATATATTATCAATACCCTCTTATGAACAAGCTTTTGATCATATAGTTGAATATAACAGTTGAATAATTTTATTTTATTTTAAAGAAATCTTAATTTCATTTGTGACTTTGACATGTAGAGTGTGATGGGATTTGGACACTCGATCATTTGACAATAAATAAATAAAAAGATAATCTTAGTAAACGAAATTGATTTGTACATGCTGAATGATCTTAATGATAATGATAATAATAATAATAAATTTAAGCTTTCGCAGTTGCTCCAAACACTAAATTTTTGGATGTACGATTAGAAGTCAAATTAAGTAATTAAATAAAGGTTAATTATATTATATTTTATTAATATGTTAATTAATCTTCATATGAACTGGCTATTAAAAAATCCGTACATACTGACATCAGGATGTTGTAATGTAATGCAGACCTGCCAAAACACAAATGCCGGAGACGACACATTTGAATTCCTGTCCACTTTACTTTGTCATAAGCATGAAATTGTTGAACCAAACACTTGACGGCTCAAATTTGATCCATACTGTGGGCTGCAAGCCTGTTCTTATGTCCTTTTGTTCATCTCATTGTCACAGCCTAGTGGCTATCACTATCATGTTTTAATCTTGGTTTTCAAGTGGAAAAACTTTTCAGAGTTTGGTTATTATTAAAATTATTATATTAATAAAAAGATAAATTACTAGAAATGTTTTGAGAATTGTGTTTGATTAGTTTGGAATAAATGAGTAGATATATTATATTGATATTTTTTATTAAGAGGATAAATTGGTGGGTATATTATATATATTACTAAATTGCCTTCTTTTTTAAATATTAATATAATATTATTATTTTTATTATTATTTAATCATTCTTTTGAGTCCCTACATTTGAAATTTGGCTAAAACACTCCTACCATATAAAACTTTAATTTGTAACAAAATCACCCACACCCACCCCTAAGCCACTACCGACAGCCAACCACCATTGTCGGTCGTTGCTGACAATCATCGAAATGGCGCACAACCGATCGGATATGGTCAGTCGTGCGTCGATAAAACCTTTTTCCACCAAATTTGGTCGTTCTACGGTCAAAGATGTGATTATAAAACAACCACAGATATGGTCGTGAGAAAGCGAGATATGTGGCCGTTTCACAACCAAATATCTGGCATTTTCATGGCCACATCTTTGGCCATGAAACGGTCAGATATGGCCATTTCCGACCACGGATCACAGATCCGATCGGTCGCCATTGGTGGTGGCTAACAACCGGCCACTACCATCGGGTAATTTTTGTAAAGTCCAGGGGTATTTGTGTCCTAAAAAATTTATATATAAGGATAAAATAATCCATAAATATATTTGTAAATTAATTTTAAAATAAGGGTATTTTTGTCCAAAAATTTTATTAATAAAAAGTAAAATTATAACAAAATTAATAATACCAAGTAATCTTAAAATACTTAAGAAAATAGAAGTAATCTGATTATCTCATATATTACCAACAATAATTACTATTGGTTTTAAAACATTAACGGAATCTTATATTACTTGATAAAATATAATAATAAAGTAATATAAGATGACATTAATCCCCTGTAACCCCAACCAAACACACCCAAAGAGAACTCCAATCCCAAACCTTCCTAGGTTATGTTGGTGTTCATGAGAGAGCTCGAACACCAAATCTTATCATAGCAAACCAGATACTAATCATCCAACTAAACCCTGACAAGGTTCAATTCAATACCATCTGAGATCCCAATTTTATATACATAGGATTATTGATTTGGAATTTATATAATGTGGATAACATACATCTATATGTATTCCGGTAGGATTTTGCTTTTTTCTGTAATCAAGCCAAGCTATGTAAACTATATATTTGTAACATAGAACAACATTACATCCTTGATTTCACTACTAATTTTCTACCATATCACAAAAATAAGAAGCATACATAGCAATTTCATGTATGAGTGTTACAAATTTTGGAGAAATCTCAACCACACTAGATAATTGAAAAATAAAAAATAAATTACAAAAAAGGTTTTAGTTTCCACTTAAAACCAAGCTTCCTTCACAACTCCTGGCAATGTATTTTTAACTTTCTATGGTATTTTACAGAAAACCCACAAGTAATACACAACCAGGCACAATATGGTTTGCATTAGACCTATTACTAGATGCAATCATGGAAAGCCAGATCTATTTCTTTTCTTTCTCGTCTTTCTCATCATACGAATCTTCATCATCATAGTAGTACTCTTCTCCATCATCGTCAGAATAATCATCCTCATCGTAATATTCTTCATCTTCATCACCATCATCCTCGCCATTCGGCAGTAGATATTTAGAGTCACTCGACATCTGCCCTCTTAACCGCTCTTGAATTCGGTCCCTGATAGCTGTGCCCTGAAATGCATCCAAATTGTCGGTTAGACTGCGTAAAAGATGATAAACATACAAGATGCATAGAATTATATAAATTGATTCTATTAATGAACAATAATGTACAGATGAAATCCATATGCATAGATTTCCTTACCATTTTATGGCAACCTTCTTCAAACATCTCAAGGAAACCAGCAACCCAGCGATCAGCATTTTCCACCCACTCATTACGATGCATTGCAACAGTTTGGATCTACAAATATTAAAACAGGAATGTAAAACCATCATATTATACACTTCATGGCAAGTAGGAATGCAAAAAATGAAGTTATGGTACAACCATAATACTTCTGCAGAGTTTAGGCATTGCAGCAAAAAAAGACACTCAGATAAACTTTAACAAGATCGAACTCAAAATATTCAAATGCATAAAAATCAGCTATCCGTAACTACATGAAATTGAAAAGCACCAACAACTAACCAGCCAAATCTAACAGATCAAGGACCAGCCTGGTTTAGATGACTGATTCCACTGCAGAGTAACATGTAACTGTCAGACTATTTGGGCAACATTAAGGAAATCCAATACTCATATCAAAAGAACCATCTATACTGTATTCCAAACCGCCCAAAATTTCCCTTTTTTTTCAGTAGCAAAAAGTCCTAGACCCCTCTTACAAGTTCACTACGTTATAAACTGGAGACTACTATTGAATCCTACAACCTTGATTAGTCAGAGAATTTGTGGGTTACAATATCCCAAGCCCCAAGGGAAGTTCAAACTAACCTCTCAAAAAAAGTCAGAATTCATTAGACTACTCAACCCAACCCTAAAGTGGCTTCTTCTTTTTTCTTCTGACTAGATATTTCTGCACAAAGTGACTTTCATACTACATAAGGTACACACATAAAATAAGATTCAGTTTAGGATAAATCAATTAGCATGCCTACTGCTATACATGTCAGGTCAGTGTATCACAGAATGGGAGAGTACAGAATAAGGGGGGAGGGTAGAGCGGAGATAAGGCATGCGAGATAAAATTATGCCACGGTCTTCTTGATTTTCCTTTCCTACAATAGCTAACTCAAAAAAATTGTCTCAAAAAGAGAGCAATAGAACCAAGCCTACAAAATTATCGTAACTGTATTCTTTTTCAACCAATGTAAACCAACAAGTGCAATTATAACACAAGCTGTACCCAAGCCCTGAGGTTTTGACAATGGTCCAGCTCCATCCAGCAGTATATACTTAGTGTTAGCTAGGCTAATGAGACAGGCTGTCCCTCTTAGAATTAAGACTGAGTTAATCTCCAACCCCTATCACAGCCCCAGTTGCACAAGGCTCTCATGTCAAACCCCAAAGCGCACGCTCAAACAACTTTTACTCTTTAAAAAAAGTACGCCCCACAAAATAGAAAAAAGAAGTAGTTTCCCTACCATTTGGTGCATTCAATACCCTCAGAAAATTCCCCATAGGTGTTTTAGTTGCTAGATTAAGAAACTGGATAGTCACTAGGCAATAAAAAGAAATGTCTAAAGATCTTTATTAAATGTATTATTCTTCAGAGCCATAATGCCACCCAAGAAAAAGTAAATGTCTGCTACATGAATAGACCTTAAACAAAAAATAACATAAAGCATGAGAGAGGAAAGAATAAAGAGAAGAAGAAGGTTGCAAAATCATCCACTCACATTGGTAGGAGTGGCTTAATTCAACTTAAAGACGGTACACGGATCATACAATTATCAATACACAGTATATTACAAATGGTAGAACAATGACTTAATGGTCAATGATTGAGCAAATCAAGCCCTCCATCTCAAGTATATATAGGAAAACAACATTATGGCATAAGAATTGAAATACCTTTTCTCCAACTTTTTCTTGGTGTTCCTTCACTTTCTCTTGCAGTTTTTTCAATCTCATGTTAACTCTCAGCCGCTTTTCCTATTTAAGATGGAATTAACCATAAGAGATAAATTCCCTAAACCAGAACATAAATATCATAATGAGATACAGAAAAGTATAAATAAAACAAAGATCTTGCCTTCACATAGCTAACACCCAGCTCCTTTCTTGAATATCCTCGATCCAAGTTTCGCATAACATATTGGTTGTAGTCTTTAACAATCCTCATAATAATATCTGATGTTGAAATCCCATCTGTTCGTTTTGTTTCCAGAAACTTCCCTGCAGATTTGACCTGCAACAGACATCCTATTACATAATTATACATTACAGTGGAACAAAAAGGGAAGAAAGGCAAACATTGTCGCTCAAACTTACAAATTCATAAACGTCTTTTCCAGCACCACTAGCATCTGCATAGCTGTAAAAATGACATGCCGATAAATCAAAATGCATGATATACCTGGATGCTCAAATCACTAAACCAGAATACATATGCACTTAATGGGAAAAAAATCAAGCTTATTTTTTCAAATAAATAAACAAACTAGCCAGTCAAGGAAAACCCAAGAGTGCTTAGTAAATCATTATAAAACTATCTAATCCAACAAAACAAATCAAATTTCCATCATGTTCAAACATTTTTATTCAAGTCGGTTATCCCTACGGAAGAGAGTCGTGTGCCACATAGTCGATCTTATGCTTGTCAAGAAATTCTTGTGTGACCACCCAAGGTGCATCAGGAATGACTTCATCTACCCACCTGATCATAAAAGAAAATCAGAGATACACCATTAAACGCTGCAAGAGACACACGAACATTCCACACACACTTAATGCACCACAAACATCACAGATCCACTCAAAACACCCCAATTCAAAATTCATCATGCAATCAAAACTTAAACCCTCAAAACAGTATAAGAAAAATGCATACTTGCAATGGCGAAGTGATTCATAACGTTCGGCCTCTGTCATAACAGTTTTGCCCTTATACTTGTGGGTGATTTCATCATTGCAGCATCCAACAAGGAGATAAGAATTTGGCAACCTGAAAATCCAAACTTGATCACATCAATCTAAACATATAAACAAACAAAACCCATCTGAAACAAATTGAAACAAGGCAAACCCAGAAAAATAAAGCAAAAAAAATTCAGTAAAATAAAGTAACCCGGAAACATAAAAAATACAAACAGTTTCTTGGCTTGTTCAAGAGAGCGCGCGTGGCCGAAGTGAAAAAGATCGTAGATCCCATCGGCGTAGATTCTAACGGGGCGATCAGTGGGCAGAGGATTAGGCGGCGGATAGTGGGAACGCTTGGGTTTCCAATTGGATTGGTCTTGAGCGTCGGTCATGAGGCCCTGGTGCTCGATGATGATGATGATTATGGGAATTGGAATTCAAGTATGAGTTTCTTTTACATGTTTTTGTTTTTTCTGTTTTTGTTTTTTAAAAATTAAAAAAAAAAAAAAAGTATTTCCTGTTTAAGCGTTTCCACTTGCGAATATCCGTTTCCTACGCCTTTTTACTAGAAAATTTAATAAAAATGTTTTAACTTTGTTTTCTCATTTTTTTATTTCTTCTCCTATTATTAATTATTCCAATATTTTCAACTAATTAATAACCCTAATTTCTCTTCTCATAACCTAAAACTTATAAAATATATTTATATTTTATAAATATTAAAAAAATTCTTAATCTAATAGTCTTATTTCGATATCTCGATATCCCAAAAATGAAGAATTTCTACCACGAAGGTCAACGTTGAATTTTTACATTTTATTAAATCAACGACTAATCATTCACCTTTAATCCGAAATTTAAAACTTTAAGCTAATTTAAATTAATTTATTAACATAATAAGTCTCCTCAATTAATCTTCTTAAATAGCATTAATATACTAATTAATATTTAATAAAGCTAATGGTCATCCTTTCAAATAGCAAAAAATTATTGCATAGTAGATTTGGTGGGTCTTTATAGCAATCTATCACCATTTTTGTCTTTGTTTATAGTAGTTTAAGACATCTTTATGTATTTGTCTTCTCTCTTTGTTATTAAAAAATAAGTAAATAAATAAAATAGATTGTTTTTGGTAGGTTAAATGAAATCATATTGAACTGGATCTATTAAATAATAAAATTGTCATATTGTTATGCTTAATATTAGACTATCATCTAATAATCTATAATCGTCGATCAAATGGATCGAAAAGTCAAATTCTTCATATTAAAATTAGTAAGATTTTAATATAAATGTTGAATGCTTACCAAATAACTTAAATTTTTAGGTTAAATGACATCTTTAAAATGAGATATACGATAATAATATAATAATAAAAAAAAATTTATTGAAATAGAATAGCATATTCTTCTTTTTCAAAGAATATTATTATACTGAAATATAATTTATTATGTAAATAGTGAACAATCTAATCATAAACAATATATTAGATATTTATAATAAATCATAAAAATAAGTTAAAACATTATATTTTCCTTTTCGATTAACTTTTTATTAGTTATGAGATTTATTATTAATTTAGAACTAATAATGACTTGGGGATTTAGTGGTTATTTTATAAATGTATTTACTATTTTGATAATTTTAGCACATATATTTTAATTTTTTAAAATATATTATTAATAACTTAATGTATATTTAAAAGAAAATCCACTAGTAAAAATTTTTATATTTATTATTTAAATAATGAGCATATTATATTCGAGATTCGAATCAATCAAAAAATAATAATTTAAAAGATGAAAAATTCCAAAAATCTCTTCATATTTTATATACATTTAAAGTACTTTAATTACCTGCAAATCTAATTTTGGTTTAAAAAACAAGTTTCTTCACGTATTACCTTTATGCCTAATGGGAAATTGAATTTAGGATTGTAGGTTGAAATTATGCAAAACCCCTTGGTTCGCCCTTACCGTTGAGCTATTCATAGGTAGGATATATTTTTCTTGTTCTATAGTATTGCAAAAATTTATTATTTTATTTTGATTTCAAATGTTGTTCATGCATTGAACAAAAGAATCGATCAATTAACCAATTTGTGGAGACATTTAATTAATTAATTGTAAGGTTGCAGCCATTGATCTCCTTCAATATAAGACATGTTAATGAAAGCAGAAGCCTGCGTATCATTCAGTCTCTGAACATAAGCTGCCCTCATTGACATATTTGCTCCCGCCCCTGTGCAATTGTATTCTCCGTAGAAAATAGTCCTGCGAAAATAATAAATAATAGTTAGATCTCCACTGTATATCTTATCGAAATCAAGATCAGAGATGACAATTTTTCCGGATAAAATTAGGGTTTTCCTGAGATCTCAGAAAGACAATGTTTTAAGGAAAGAAAAAATAGTAGATGGTAGGATACGTACTGGTCTCTGGTAGGGTCGTTGAAGTCATTCCAGCCCTCCGGGGCGATGATATCAGTCATGGAAGACAAAGCAAAAACGACACGAGAGAAAGGTCTCCAAGCTCGGCCAAGCCATATTCTTCCTGTTCCTCCCACACTGCAGTTCACAAATGCAAAGCCTGTATTTTCATCCTTTGAAGTTCTTCCATGTGCTGTTACTGCTCCGTTTATTAACTTCGATCCTGGAGCTACCGGGCTCGCTATGGAAATCAACGCGCAATTCTGGAGAAAATAAGTAGGATTTGTAAAAATTCATCACTTGATTGTTATATGTATTAAAAAAAAAAAAATCTCTAATGCAGATATCCTTGACAGACCTTACCATCTAAAGCTTCAGGTCCCAGTAGGATTCTTACCCTTTGTCTGATCATTGTGGCATTATCAGACTATTAATTGCTTCACAATAATGGTTTTAGGTTACTGAAATATAGTGTTTTTGCTTTGCTTGCACCTTTTATTTTTGTATGCAAAGTCATTCATGTTAGGTGAAATTGGGTAGATAGTCTCTCAAATTATGATTTCGAGAGCCAAAATTCTGGGGAAAAATAAACAAATCGCGTATCCTCTTCATATCCATGCAGTTTCACTCAACATATTAAGCAGATAAAGTTATTAAAGATTGCTTGAAAGCAAAACTGACCTCATAGAGTGACCTGCCATTGCCAAAAATGAAATCAATAGAACCTTGAATATAACAATCTTTGAAGTAATGGCGACCTCTATCATCATGAAGAGTGTCTTGAGCTCCAAAGAATCCGCACCCCCAGAACGCTGCTTCATCTCCTGATACTCTAATTGCAACCGCCTGCGCTCCAACATCTCCTGGATTCGGAATCGGCGCCACATTCTAAAGTATAGCATAATTAGAACAAACCATTAGCAACAATATATATATTTTTTCTTTTGCGAATATCCTAATCTTTTTAGAATATAGACTTACCCTGAATACTGATAGTTTGTACTAAAATACAAATTTTATCATATTCTTATGTGTCAAAATTGACTAAACTTTCGCTTCTTTAGTATAAAATTACCGTCAGAGGATAGGTCTAGATTTTAAAAGATTTTAGATGTTAGCAGATGTAAGAGTTTTCACTATCATATATGTACAAAGAAAAGTACACGTTTTGAATGATATATCAAATTTCTTATTCTAACTTATACGTTTTCATATATAAAATAGTTATATGACAGAGATGATGTATCATTTCAGATGAAAATTTTGAATACTATTGCTTAAGACACATATGTAGCTTGTATGAACTAGTAAGCATGGTGTAATCACAGATATTTCAACATGATGATTGACTTACCATGAAACTTATGTTCTTAGCAATGAAGTTGTTCGCGAAAACCTGAACGGAACCGCTATAAAATGTGCCATTTGCAGACTTTGCCGTGTCGTTCCATACAATAGCAGTCGATGTATAACCTTGTCCTTGAAATGTTATATTTGGTTTGGTTCTTGGAACAATCACTTTTTCACTACAAATAATTAACATGTACATGTACTTAATGAGATTACCGCACATGCATGTTGAAAAAATCAGTTTAATAAACAAAGTTTTAAATAAGACGAGCGGGTCAGCTTACTAGTAAATGCCAGAGTTGATGAATATGATGTTCCTTTTCAGGCTGAAATTCGCGACTGCATCAACGGCAGACTGAACTGTGGTGAAGTTACAGCATCCATTCCGGTCAACACCAAAATAAGAGGTTGTGTTAGTATCTGGAGGGATGAAATCGGCTGGAAAATCATCACAAATTGATACTACTTTCCCATGATGAGAGGGCTTATGACGTTTATGAAGAGAAACATTAGTGCCAAAATATTTGAGGAATGAAGTCGTGAGGTTTGGATGAAGGAGAAAAGTTGAAGTGGAAATTGAGAAAAGAGCAACAAGAAAAGCGAGAGAGACGCTGGTGAGGGTGGTCATTTTGAGACGAATAATAAAATTGTTGGAGAAAGGATGAGAAGGAGATGGATTATATTTGAACAGGAGAATGCAGAAACATGCACTTGAAGTGCAAGAATTGATGGCATGTCTTGCAAAATACCGTACTCTGGCCCCTTCCATACTCTTTTAACCTACCAATTTTATGCTTGGATTAATGCGAATTCACTCAATGCCAAACTGCCAATGCATTTTACAGAAAGATTTCAAGTTTGTCTTGCACCTTGGATCAATCCCATTTCGTCATATTGGTTTAAATCAATACCTTTTCTTATACAAAAAAAACCTGAAAAGTACGGACTGACTGTCTCAAGTCTGTTTGTAAGGTTTCATTTGTTAAGAATATTATTCCAAGAAAAATTAAACAGTAAAATATCATTATTCTTAAAATATTATTTTATATTTTTTAATTTCTTTTAAACCTTTTTAAATTTGTTAATTTAACTAAACATTCCCAAATATTTTTTTTAAATTACAAAAACACTCCGACTACCCTCCGACGGTGGTGGCCAGCTGTCCGTATTTAATTGACGGGTTAGAGGTATTTTTGTTAACTTTTAATACTTTATTATAGGGGTGTTTAGTAAATAAATAAACATATGGGGTATTTTTGTTAATTTTTAAATCCTACATCGTAATACCTACCCAATTTAACTTTTTTCAAAATATTATTCTAAAAACTATTATAATAATGAACCAAACGGACCCTAAATATCTGCAAATTCTGAATCTAACATTACAGAGTTATCCATAAAGTTATAAAAAGAGTTCATAATATAACATAATGAGGATTTTTTTTTTTTTTGTGTAATATAGAATGTCGAAGGTCTAATGTAAGTATCCGATCAGTCACAACATGTTAATATACATAACGTACGTGTGTATGTGTATATATATATTAGTTGTTCAACTGCGACAGATCAGCATGTGTGATACATTCACGTGCCGTGATTGGATCATCGCACATACATTAACCTAATTGAAAGAATTTCTCAATAACCTATAGAATACTTGTGTAAATTAATCAGGTTCTTTTTCATAGGTTGAATATTTTTTTGCCAAATATATATGAACCGAATTTTTCTTCTCCTTCATTAATAAAGGCCTTTATATTATGGTCAAATCCAAACCCTTTCCTTTAATTAAATAAACCAATAATTTGCGTCAACAAGCCCAATTGGGAAATACAAAGCCCAATTTCCATCCAAAAGTGTTTTCATTTTCCTTTGGAATTTGGCAACATTTCAATTTCTTGTCTTACAAAATGACACCACCAACAACAATACAAAACCAGAAAGTGACAACATGTTGTTCAACAACATTTGTGGTGCTATTTCAGTCTAAGCAAAGGTGAACTTGTTCATCACCAATCCATTTTATAATTAATTAGTTAAATTTTATTCTTGTATTATTATTAATAATACGCTTAATCCAAATTTAATAAACTACCAAACGATATTTTGTTTAAAAATGGTCATCAATAGAGACATTCTCCTACTACTAGTTTATTTAAAAAATAAATTAAATGAGGGTTTCAACAATCTAATAGCAATTTAATTATTGTATCAAAAATTGAAGTGGTCAAATTCCAAAACTAATCTTAAATAATAAAAGGTTAACGGGTTAAAAGGTCAAGACGGCTACACCTTTGATGAGTCACGAGGTCAAAAATAATCAAAACTTTAGGTTTAAAAAATGCACGTGCTTGACATAATACAATTTGAAAATAGAAGAGGGATTATTAAATTAATGGATATATTGTAATGTTGTAGTATTAGGCAATTAGCCAATTAAAATAAGTTGTAATCTTACAAAATCAAAAGGCACCAAATTTTAATTTCAAATAACCAAAGATTAAGGCATATTTATTTGACTTTATGATATGAATTTTCTCCTTTTAGATGCTTTTTGGACCCCATCAAACGCTCACATTCACCCCCTCTTCCCGCCCCATTTCTCACTCAAACCAAGTCCCTTTCAATCTAGTATTACTGATTAATCATCAACTTTATATTTTTATATAAAGGATATTCTCGGGTGCGAACGTTCGTATTTTAAAAAATACAATCCTATATTTATCAACGGTAACTAACGTTCACACGTATTTTATAAAATACAGTCTTATGTTTGTTGACGTGCCATAACTAACACTAAATCGGTTCATATTTATTTAGGAACATTTGAAATGTTTTTTACATTCAAAAGTGTTTTGTAAGAAAACATATATATATATATATATATATATAGTACCTTTTAAGAAAATACTCTTATGTATATATATTTCTTATTAAAAAAGCAATTTTCTACATTTTAACCAAATTTTATATAAATGATATACACATTTTTTACTATTTAAAATGCACCTACCTTTGACATGCTAAACTTATTCTAGAATAATCACCATTAGTCTTTCTTATATACGCAATCCATCGTTAGATATTGAAAAATAAAAAGCAAGGAGAAGATAACCGATAATATGACATATTCTCGTTAACTGATTGTTAGAGATTGAAAAATAAAAAGCAAAGAGAAAATTACCGATAATATGACATATTCTCGCAAACTAATTGTTAGATATTGAGAAATAAAAAGTAAGGAGAAGATAACCGATAATATGACATATTCTCGTTAACTAATTGGATGTGTAACCGATATACATAAAGATTTCTTTAAATTAAAGATAATAAGGAAAAATTATTGTGCATATACAAACAACCAATTATATAGAAAATGTTTTTTGTTCGTACTGGTATCAACACTCTTATAAACTGATTGTATATGCAACGGATAAACAATAACATGATGAAATGAGAACCCAACTTGTGGGTTTATATATTATATAGTTTTAATATCAAACAATAGATTGAGGTCCACTTCAACAAATAAATTCCCAAGAAAGGCACATGGTTTTTCCAAAGCAAACAGCAAAAACAAAGAAAATAAAAACAAAAAAACAAAAATTAAAAACTTAATTAGTCCCCCCCCGCAATTAGATTAATGTAGCTAATTAACTATCATGTGTAATGAAAAAGATTTTTATTTACACAAGTCAATGGTTCTCCCTAAAGACAAGTCAGTACCTAACTTTCTCCTTTCTCTCTCTTAAAACATGAAACTGTTACCCCTATTCTCATTGGAACCAGGCCTTCCAGGATTTGGATTTCCACCTACTTGTGAAGAAGAAACATTACTATTCATGTTTTCCATCATAAACCCATCTGAAATCTCCATGTTTGGCCTCGGATTTCCTCCCAATCTCTGAAAAAACCCATCTCCTCCGGAACCTGGAATGTTACTATTCCCCAGAGAAATCATGTACCCACCGCCGCCCTGGTTTTGTTGCTGCTGGTACCGCTGCGCCTGCGCCTGCGCCTGAGCCTGATACTGAAAATGATAACCTGGAGGCACCATAACGTTTCCAGGGTTGTTAACCTGAACCTGGCGACCTCCTCCAAGCCCAAAATTGAACCCTGAAGGCCCTCCGGGGTGCGGCCCGGATGCGAAAGGAGCTGTCGGGCCGCCTGTGAATTGTTGCACCATGGCCCGGAAATTGGTCGTGTCTGTGTTAAGTAACGTTGTGGGGGTTCTCCGGGAGGCCCTGGAACGTCTCCGTACGGGCTTTGAGACTCGGCCATCGGGGCTGAGGTTTCCGATATTTGACCCCGAGGCAGCTGCAGCTGAAGCTGAGGATGAAGCGAGAGAGGTAGTGACAGAAGTAATCATGGAATCGGAAACGGGAGAGATTCCTGAAGAGGGTCGACCTGGAGGGTTCATTTGGCCCGAACCTGAAACATTTTGCTGGTAGAATTGAGTCCAATCGCCTGGAGAAGACATGGTTTCACTCATGGCCTGAGGGGCCAATTAATTTAAGAAAGTGTGAAATGTATTTCTTTGGTAAGAAGGAAGGAATGCTAAAGGCTGATGGTGTATTTATGGTGGCTTTCACCTTAGTCAAAAATATGACCATATTGAGAAATCCTGACCCTTGATTTCATATCAATGGAGATTCCATTAGGTGTAACGTGATTAGCACGTGGGGCTGTGGTTGAAAATCAAATTTCTAGTTTCCTCCCTAAAGGTTTCCTTAATTCCGAACAGAACGACTACTTTTCATATGTGAAAAGAATAATACTAGATAGTAGATACAGATAAGATTTAAAGTCATCGAACTATGAGACTTAATATAATCACAAAAATTTCCACAAGGTTTTCGAAATAACAAAAACCCTCCTACTATTACTAGACTGTTAATGAGCCGTCACAATTTACACTATTATTATTTCAGAAACACCAAATGGATGTTTTCAAGGGGATTAATGTTATTTACTCTATTAGATTTATAAACTGTTTATACAACCTAGTGTAACACAAATAAATATAAGAGTGTATATATATAATTGATCAATAAAAATTCAAGAAACGATAAAAAGTTATTGCATTATTCTTTGTAAAATGGGTCAAGATTCCCTTATGGTTAGATCATAAGAAAATTAATAAAAGAATATACTTTGATCACATCATGTATAGAAATAGATCCTTACCATAAGAATGTTCTAAGTTGAGTTAAGAAAATAACAAAATTCTCTAACAATAAGCAAGAACCTTCTAATGAAATTGTTCATCTTCTTCGTTTACTTATTATATTTGTTTTTCATGTTGAGTTGTTATATGTATAGAACCACCATTTTTTTTTTTTTTGATAATCGAGGTGTTCATACCAATTTGTGCGTACCTCAAACCCAATGAGCTAGGTCAGTCCCAAATGTGATAGATAATCACTTTGCAAGACTCGAATACAAGACCTCTAGATAACTCACTCACATTACTAAAGTCATGTCGTCCGGCCACAAGGCTAGTGGTTAAAACTACTGTTTTTTGAAATGATATCTATATGAGATTTTTTAAAAGGAATGAGGCAAATGTGTAATTAAACAAAAAGTAAAGGGGTTGGAAAACAATAGATTTGTGGGTTGGTTTGTTAAGGTTCTGGAAGTTTTTAATTAAATAAATGAAAATAGGGTTTAATTTATTTATTTATAATTTTATAAATGCATGGTTGATTTCGGAGAAGGAAAGAATGGCAAAATCATGGTGATGTAATGGAGAAGAGTGGCCACGTCATCAGTGGATGACTGGTGGTGGTAGGTGACTTGTCTGACTTGGAGTCTTTACGAAACTCCTAAGTACCTTCCAAGCTTATCAAAGAAACCAAATTTTATTAAAATTAATTAAAAATTTGATTATCATGATTATTAATTACTGTTTAGTTATCATAACTGTTAATTAAAAGCAATTTTAATGCTTTCACTCATGGACCACCCATCATAAATTCAATGGTTAAATTCTTATAAATATTTAACTAAATAATTAAAATTCACACCATTAATTAATAAAAGGAACCCAAAATCCCTAACTATAATATTAGAATAGTTTTAAATCTAATATATTTGTTTATAATCTAGAAAATCCTTAACCTCTTTCTGCGAACCTTTGTTTAAAACCGAGTCTCCGTCAAACTCAAAGGATTCAAAAGAGGAAAACAATGATTATTGATAGTAATTCTAAGAGCTACTATAATGGAATAAGTCTCACTAACAACCGCCCAATAATGATTTTTTTTTTTTTATAACCAAGGTGGTCGGCCCAGTAATCTACTACCATGACCCCCTCACTTAAATCGCAGATGCTCAGATAGGAAATCAAATCTAAAACCGTGCATATGTTCACACTATCCTTAATTTATCTTAACCATTTGGGCTATCCACATATGAGTTATGTCAACACGCATGTGTAACACCGACTTTTTTTATTGGGGCGGTTATACATGCAACTATGCACGGGTAAAATTGTAATGTGAAAAAGGGTTACGAAAACATCTCTCAAGTTTTTTATTATAAAAAATGTGATATTGGGGAATCACTATCCGCAAAACATGTAAACTTTAGAAACTATAATGAAGCTTGACTAACAATCCATCCAACTTTTCCTTTCATTAATTGCTACAAACTTGCCACTGAATTTTGTGAAAACCTTAAGAGTTTAGAAACACTAATGTCTCATTAATGCCATCATGATACTAAAATCTAAAGGTGATCATGGAAGGTTGCTTGCTTAATTTAAAGTTTTAATAACCACTTTGCCAACAACACAATTAACCCTAATTAAATCCCACCACAATCATTCAAATTCTCAACATATACATAACACGGATTAGAATCATTTTCCAGATTCAGAGTTTTACTTTAACTTTTACCCGATGATAGTATGTATACATTAATGAACTTTATATTTTCTTTACATAAAGATCTTATTAGAAGAGAACCCTTGTGTAAAGATTTCATATGAAAACGAAACTTCTCTTGCTGAGTTGGTTTTACAAAAAATCCTCGAATTTACTTCCAATCGAAGTTTACTATATTTAGGAAACGAAAACCTATAAACCCTAATCCCTAATACCCTTTTGAAACTAGATTTAGAAACCTATGATACAAAGCTCAAGAAATTCCACCAAACAAAACTAGATAGTGTTGATTTGTTTAATAGTTTTTTTGTTTGGTCAAAGAAGAACAAACTGCTCAAGTATTAGAAGGAAAAAAAAAAAATCAATGAATAATAGTCTTGTAGAATTCGAAGACGTATACTATGCTGTGAGTGAGAGCCACTTGTTTTGACTCATTCAATTTAAATTGCAATATTGTAATGTATTGTCTCCTTTAACGCCACCTCTTCTTCCTCAATCTATGGCAACCTTAAATTGACTGTCGTTTGTCCTAAGCCATCAAACAAGGTCTCAACCAGTTTCTGCCCCATTTAGCTCCAATTTCAATGCTCATATAAAACTCTAGCTTAAACCGTTGAATTATAATTTATGATTGACAATGAATTAATGTCTCAAATTAAGTCAAAAGGTTCAATTAATATAGTCTTATCCTTTACGTATATATATGAATATGACTACTAAGATAAAACGTGGGTTTGAGTATAGTTTCCTTGAATCTGTTAGGGTGTATTTAGGAGTTTCATGGTAACGGTTATGAGGGTAAATTATTATAGTGGTTTTGATGATAAACCATTATAACAGTTTTTAAAACATCCAACTTATGGTTGGGAGTTTATTTTTCAACGATTCTGACAATTTTTTAAAATGATAAATTTACATATACGCTCATAAATATACATCAACTTCAACTGGTACTTGAGAGTTTTGTTTTTTCTATTACAAGGTAAGGGTTTATTATTTGTTTTCTACTTATTAGTATTTTATAACTTCAAATATGATAAAGTCTCCTTATCTTTCTTCATCATTNTAAAAATTAAAGAAAGAGATTTGGAATATGGAAATTGGAAATATGAATTGAAAATTGCAAAACCTAATAAAAATTAAAATAAGAGCAAATTGATAACAAAAATATTAAGAGAATAAATGAATAATTGAGACTTGAGAGTTGAGAGAATAGAGATTAGAATAGAGAATATGAGAAAATGAGAGAATTTGAGTTGTGAGAAAAATATGAGAGTTTAGGGCCAATTTATAGAAAAAAATAGGAAAAAAAATGACGAAAAAGACCCCTCCAACGGCTATATTTCAAGGGTAAAAGTGTAATTGAAAAAAATAAAAAAGATTTACATTTTTTTTTTTTGTGGGCCAACCCGGCGGGTTGCGGGCCTCTTGCAAAGAGGACAAATTAGCAACCCGCGGGCCGCCGGGTTACCATTGTGCAACCCGGCCCTCCTGGGGGTTGCTGGCGGGTTGGGCTCAACCCGGCCCACCATTAAGGCGGGCCGATTTGAGCCCTCTTTTTTACGGGCCGGGTTAGGGTTGGCCCGCCTAACCCGACCCATTTTTTCCACCTCTAGTTAGGAGTTTATTTTTCAACGATTCTCACAATTTTTTAAAATGATAAATTTACATATAGACTCATAAAAATACCTCAACTTCAACTGGTACTTGAGAGTTTTGTTTTTTCTATTACAAGGTAAGGGTTTATTATTTGTTTTTTACTTATTAGAATTTTATAACTTCAAATATGATAAAGTTTCATTATCTTTCTTCGTCATTCTTTGCAGCATCTGGAATGATTGACAAATTATAGGTCTACTTCTCCAAGAAAGCATCTAGAATTGAGATTTTAATAATTTTTTTTATTATGATTGCTTAAAATTATTTTATATTTAATATGGTTAGAGATGCGCATAATATGGTTAATTTTTTTTTCTATAATTGCGATAGTTTTGTAAAGGATAGAGTATTTGTGGAATAAAATTTTAAAACCAACTAAACACCCCGATTTGGAGGTTTTATAAACCCCTAAAAAATACACTACATTGATTCTAGAGGGTTTTTGAACCAATTAAAACCAGTGCATAAAAATCTGGCAAGTAATGGTTTTAGAATGCCTCAAAACCAGTCTAATTAAAAATCCTCCAAAACCACTATGACTACTAAGATAAAACATCGAGTTTGAGTGTAATTTCCTTGAATCTATTAGGATTTTACCTCTCCCCTTGTAACTGGATGGTAAATCAAAAATCAGTGTTCTGAAAACCAGACCGCTAGCCAGCGGCATATCTGGTATGGTATCCTCTAAAAACCAGCATTTTCAATCAAACCGGATTGAGTCGTCGTTGGACCGTCGGAATAGTATCGATTCGTGGTTCAATCGCAACTCAATCCCACCAGATTCCGGCATCGTTCGAGGGNAATTAAAAATCCTCCAAAACCACTATGACTACTAAGATAAAACATCGAGTTTGAGTGTAATTTCCTTGAATCTATTAGGATTTTACCTCTCCCCTTGTAACTGGATGGTAAATAAAAAATCAGTGTTCTGAAAACCAGACCGAACCTTCCAGTCAGACTGGTTCGACCGGTAGCTAGCGACATATCTGGTCCGGTATCCTCTGAAAACTGGCATTTTCAATCAAACCAGATTGAGCCTTGGTTGGACTGTCGGAATAGTGTCAATTCGCGGTCCAATCGCAACTCAATCCCGCCAGATTCCGGCATCGTTTGAGGGAGAAAACACCACCATTAGACTTGACGACATCTCCATGACAAAACCCAACCATTTTCAGTGGCCATCGTCCAACCTTCGTCGCTCGCCGTCCACCTATAGTTCACGTGACCGTCGGACTTCTTTCTTGATTTCGGCGAGTTCCGATGGCGATGGAACTCCCTAACACCACCATCAGATTCACTGGCACCTATACATCAAAAGCTCCATGATTCCAAACTTCGATTGGCCATCGATCGTCGCTGTCGCCACCATCACCAGTCTCTTCGCGCGACAAGGGTGTTTTGGACAGATTTCAAACCTTAAGGGAGTATTATAGGAGTGTTTTTGATGAATTTCAAACATTTGGGAACTAAAAATAATTTTACAGAATACGGTCTAATCGACCGATCCAACCGGTCAAACCAAAAACTGGACCCTTGAACGGGTCATAGTCCAGTCCGGTTTTCAGAATATTGGTAAACCCTTTAGCCACTTGAGTCAGTTATACTCAGAGGTCTTATATTAAAGTCACAGGAAAGACGATTACCTATTTAGGGTTTTAAAACGAGTCCCACCTGTTTAATTTGTTTTTATGAAATCATTATTGATAATTGAACATTTTTTAATTTAAAAAAAAAAATAGAATATCTCTACTTGGACTCAGAACTGTTAACATCTCTTGCATTGATGTGTTGATGATTCATGGATGTCTCATTTTTATTCTTGATTTTTAGTTTATAATGAATTGTAGACAATGGTAAAAGCAATTCAATTCTATAGGCTTGATCTTAGTGAGCCCAAAACAACTGCAAGGCCCATTCACTAGTTTAAATGAAGGCCTTGAACAATATAAAAATTTTCAATGAATTTTTTTTTTTAATTGATAAAAGATGGAATGATATATATAATATAATATATATATTTTGGGTGACCAGGGGTGTCCAGGTAGCTTGTGCGCAAGCTAAATAATCACAAGACCTTGAAGTTGACAGCGGATAAATCCCGGAATGGTCACCCCTATTAACAACCCATGTGAATCGAATTCAGGACCTCTTAAGAAATACATCTAAAAGTCCTAGTTGACCGTGATACCACCCAATGGTAATTGATGGAGTGAATATTTAATCCTCACTTGCTCACAAGCTTGTTCCTTTCTGTTTGAGCAAAATATATTACACAAAATATTCATACAAATTGATATAAACTTAAGTGTTTATTATTTATATAATTTATCACAATTTTTTTTTTGTTTTTTTTTTTTTGACATAAAGGCATAAAACGAGAAATAAACCACAAACCCCAGAGTTGAGTGACCACGAACCACATAACATTAAAAATAAACCACAAACGTAAAATATGGATGAAGCTCTAGTAGGTTATCACAGTTTCATATAAAGAAAACTTCGACTTATTTAAAAAAGAAAAAAAGATAGTACATGATTTGTCTCATATGTATAAATGGGAATTGGGAAGTTCACCATTTTTTTTTTTTTTTTAAAATCCTAACATGCAAAGCATTTACCTGAAAAAGATTATTACTATATATATGTATGTTGTGTAAACTGCAAAGTGGGGAGAGCACTTATGTAGGTGTGGATTTGTGTTAATGTGGTTTGATAATGTGGCCGGTTAGGCTGAGACAATTTAGAGGTGCGGTTTATTTGGTGGGTTTGTTTTATTTTCATTATCTGAAGGATAAAGAGAGTGGCGGTTTAAGCGCTTCACATGGTAGACATGACATCACACTTCACTTATTTATAAGTCAGTGGCTTTCCCAAAACCTGTCGAGTAAATTTTGTTTCAATGGCAACTTCAATTTGTGCCTTACACCTCTCTTCAACTGCCTCTTATGGCAGTTTTCAGACAGCACAATCTTGGTTTAACTTGTGTTGTCACTCAAATATTGTTCATCTTCTCGCTTCCAAGCCAAAAGGGTCTTCTTCTATCAGGTTCTTTGTTAAGTTCCCTTGAGAAATTGTTCTGAGTTCTGGGTTGGACTTTGTTTTTGGTTTCATTTTCGTTTTCCTTTTGCCAATTAAGTTCTGGGAAAGTTTAGTATGTGGAGATAAAAATCTGGTACCATTATGGGATTATTAGTTTTAGTAACTTACAGTGTCGAGAAGCAACCAGATAGTAGAAGCAAAATATGAGTTTTAAGCGTAATTTTGCATGTTAATTGCCGATGTTGTTGTGAAAATTCATTGAAGTTGCTGTATTTGTGTGTCGAATTCATTGAACTATTTGTGGTGTTGTAGATGCCAGTCCACCAGCACTAATCAGCAGAAAACAAAAAGGAATCTTTTTGACAATGCTAGTAACCTTCTCACCAATTTGTTAAGTGGGGGAAATCTTGGTTCAATGCCTTTAGCTGAAGGTGCTGTTTCTGATTTGTTTGATCGCCCTCTCTTCTTCTCCTTGTACGACTGGTTTTTAGAGGTATTATGATACTTAAACTCTTTGCACTTCTTTTGTAAATACATACCTTTTTTTGTTATTTTTGGGTGTCCAGCCGGCTTACGCGGCGCTCAATTAATTCTCCAGTATCCTGAAGTTAACAGTCGGGTAAATCCTCTCGGCTACTACTATTAGTAGCCCAGGTGGATCAAATTCAGGTCATCTTGAGTAGTACACCCAAATGACCGGTGGGCATACTACCCAGTGGTGGTTTGTAAACACATACTTTGGTTGGCATGCTAACTTCCCATCACTAGTTTTTGCGGTGTGAAGATTCAATTGGATTTTCACTAGCTTATTTTGTATTGATATATAACAAATTGTAGCCTAATTGTTGCACATAGGTTATTGCTGCCTCTTGCCGCACGCTACATGTTTTGTCGTTGGTTATAGTTGATATTTGTTGAGAATCCTATGTTTTGTCCTCTTTGTTGACATCTGTAACCTCTGGCAGCATGGTGCGGTGTATAAACTTGCGTTTGGGCCAAAAGCTTTTGTTGTTGTATCCGATCCTATTGTTGCAAGGCATATTCTTCGAGAAAATGCATTTTCGTATGACAAGGTAAATCTTAGAATTTGCTTGTACAATTCCTCACCTTAGAAAGATTTTGTTTTTATTGTTGCATTATAATCAAAGGTTTGCATTTTTTTAATCCATTTACGTAAAGTTTCATATTTTAATTAGGGGGTTCTTGCTGATATTCTAGAACCAATAATGGGGAAAGGACTTATACCTGCTGACCTTGACACTTGGAAGCAAAGAAGAAGAGGTGAGCAGAACAGAATTATGTTTTCTCGTACCTATGCCTACAAAGACACATTGTATTTAGTTGTTGTAGCTAAGTTCATTTGCTTTGTTTCAAAAATAATGTGCAGTTATTGCTCCTGGGTTCCATTCCTTATACCTGGAAGCTATGGTCAAAGTGTTTACAGATTGTTCAGAAAGAACAGTGTCGAAATTTGAGAAACTTTTAGAAGGAGAGCACTCACGTGGAGGAAGTGCAATTGAGTTGGATCTTGAAGCAGAGTTTTCAAGTTTAGCTCTTGATATTATTGGGCTTGGTGTCTTCAATTATGACTTTGGTTCTGTTACAAAAGAGTCTCCTGTGATAAAGGTTTGAGAAAAAACTTTATATTCTTAAGATTCTGCCGTGTTGTTGCATTCATATTCCACTGAAATTTTAACATGTTTCGCTTAATAATAATGACATAATTTTGGTAAAGTAGAGTAATATTGATTTTTTTCTACTCACAACTAGCCTTTCTGAAATTGATGTAAGCTGCAATTTGTTGTAACAATTCATGCTTGCAATTACACAAATGCATTCCAGGCAGTTTACGGTACTCTTTTTGAAGCTGAGCATAGATCAACTTTCTACATTCCTTATTGGAAAATTCCTCTAGCAAGGTGGATAGTACCCAGGCAACGAAAATTCTACAATGACCTTAAAGTTATCAATGATTGTCTGGATGGACTCATCAGAAATGCAAAAGAGACTAGACAGGTGAGAGTGTAATTTTTTTTACTTTAAAAATGATCATATGATAGTTGATTATACTGTAAGTGTTTTTGTTCTTCCTTTTTAGGACACTTATAAAGTTGCTGTTGTTGGACTTAGGAAGTTGCATGTTGCTACTCTAGAAATGCCCAAATACCACTCACTAGTATAGCTCAAGAGTCTTCAGAGGAAACAAAATAGGAAGATTTTTTTGGACGTAATGAGACCTAAAGTGACACTGTGTATCAACCATACTAGGGTGTCTATAGTCTCATTTGGGACTCTTTCAAATAAATTTGGTTGGTATGAGTTTTTGGTTGTCTACTCCATAATAGCTTTTCAACAGATGAACTGTCAAGTCAAAAGACAAACAGGGTAAAAAGGATAAGGAAAAGCAAAATGCAATAAATTATTATGTTTTCTTCTCAACAACCTAAACTCGCCTTACTATATGATATGGGTATACTTTTAATATAGTATTTCTTGGTATCTCATGTACAATAATATGACCTGGCCCTTGTCCATGTTAGTTGAAGCTAATTGCATGTACCATGTGCATAAGCAGCCTGAATAATTTAATTGGACAGATTGCTTATACCCTGATTTTGATTGCTTGTGACAGGAGACAGATGTTGAGAAACTACAGCAGAGGGACTACTTGAATATTAAGGTGGGCATATATCCTCATATATTGTCTTCTTAGCTAAATTCGTTTGTTACTTAGTACATGGTTATAATGTAGGTTCTACAATCTATATTCTACTTATTTATTTATTTCAAAACTCCGGCAGTATAACTATAAGTTTTGCAGGATGCAAGTCTCTTGCGTTTTCTAGTTGATATGCGGGGATCAGACGTTGATGATACTCAGGTAAATATCTGTAAGTGCCCAAATTTTTTTTTTTTTTTTTGGGTAGGTTAGTGCCCAAATTCAATGCTCCCACAAATGGCGTTGCTGGCTGCAGTATTCAGTTGATTGGACATACCAATACCATAAGTGCTTGTTCATCACCTTATTCTGGTTCTCAGGACAGCATCTATAAATTTTATCTTTTAATGTCATAGCTAGCAAATATGGATAGGTTTAAAATTGTTTGTGCATGTGACAGTGTCAATCCACTTTCAGAGGGGAACCTTTCTTAAGCATACTTGTTCCCTTAATGCATTTTCTTCACTTATTTGGAGAACAATCACATGTGAAACTTTGCAAACCTTTGGTTCTTATTAATCCTTCATTTAATTTTCTATTTTTTTTCAACAGCTAAGGGATGATCTGATGACAATGCTTATTGCTGGCCATGAAACGACCGCTGCTGTCCTTACTTGGGCAGTTTTCCTTCTAGCTCAAGTATGATTCTTTATACCACCTTCTGAATACAATTCTTTTTCTCAAATAAACTGTCGTAGTTTTGACTTCTTTTTGGATCTTTTCTTCCAGAAGATTTATATCTCGTGAGTCGAGTGAGCATATTGTTACTCCAATAAATAATAAATAAAGATTTTGAGACCATGCTGATGCATGTTAAATTTCCTATACTGCAGAATCCCTCCAAAATTAGGAAAGCTCAAGCTGAGATTGATGCAGTGCTGGGACAGGAGAAACCAACTTATGAGTCGCTTAAAAAACTGCAGTAGGTCTCCAAGTCATTCACTTCTATTACTTTATTGATGGTAGCCATGTCATAAATTTGTTTTCTGTGTATTCTTAGAAGGTTCTTCAAGAGACATTATGGGACAACATTGTTCCATGATCCTCATCTATAATTCTGGTTCTTTACTTATCTATATCATTTGAATGCTATCTAACGTCTTTAGTCTAATAATTTTTCCTTAATTAATCATTCATATCTCAGTTCTGGGAAAACTGTAAGACAAATTGGATTCTATTTTGAGACATCGCTTGAGATAGAGAATAAAGGATTTTTTTTTTTTTTTTTGTTTCACTCCTTGTATAGTAGCTGATGGAAACTTATTCCCTAGGTTTTTCAAGGTTCTTTATCCAAAAGAAATAAAAATAAAAATAGAGTATTTGCTAAAACTTTTAATTTTTAAGGCCATATTTCTTCTTCTTTGGTACGAGCTGCGGCCAATATCTATACTGTAGCCAATAGCTATACCTGTATAGATAACTTGTCCTGACTGTTTTTGGCTAAATGAATTAGGCAATGCAAAAGTCCATTTTTTTGGTTTTAATTGGCTATAGTAGCTCAAAATAAAAAGATATATATGATATGTTCCATGTTTTTAGGTACATAAGAGTTATTGTTGCAGAGTCGCTACGGTTGTATCCTCAGCCCCCATTACTTATTAGACGTGCCCTTAAACCAGATTTATTACCAGGTATTTTTACTGCCAACACTTGTATGATTCCTTCTTGGAATTCCTAAATATAAATTTATTCTCTCTGGTTTCTTGCCTTTTTTTTCCGTTTTAAAAGGTTGTGAACTTGCTTTTTGGTTTGTTTAAGGCAGTGTCGAAATGCCACATATTCACATCCTTCCTTCAGATTTCACTTTTAGTTTATGTTAATTGATGAGTTTATGCCTAACATTTCCTAATTTCTAAAAGTTTTATTCATCGATTCTATTTTTATTAGTGACTTTTGTACTATCCGTTTTAAGAGTTCATATTCCTCCCTCAAATAGGATTGCCACAGGGCAGTATCAACATGTTTAAAGAATAGCAATAAATAGCATGCTAAACAAACAAAGAATGATGAAATCTCAGAAAAAAAGTAAAAAAAAAAAAAAAACATTGGTAGGTCGGACTGTAGGAGCATCATGTCATATGTGCACTTGTCTAGCAATATAACATCATATATGTATTTTTTTTTTTCTCTTTTGTCCAACTAATCAGAATCATGATTAGTTGGCTTTAAAGTGAATGCATATGTGGTGCAATATTATTGGAAATTAAAAATCTTAAGTAGGACAGATGTAACACGTCGTCGATATGTTTATCCAATAAAATCCCATTATACATGCATTTTTTGTTTTTTGCATGCTCTTTCACCTAACTAACCAGATCATGATTGGTTGGTTTTAAAATGAATATGTATGTGGTGTAATATTATTGGATAGGAATACGGATGACGTGATATGTCCGTTCTACTTAAGACTTTCACTATAATCTCAAGCATTGCTCTTTGCTTTGTCATATAAATGAGAAAATCTTAGGTGAGACTGACATATAATGTCATTCCAATAAAATCCGGCAGAATATTTATTTATTTCAAACTAATCCAATCATAGTGGTAATCAAGTGAAACATACAGAGGTTAAATGTGTAGGATTTTAGAGGATAACCTGTTACACCGTCTTACCCAAAAATTTTCCTTCACATATTTAACTCATGGCTCCCTCCCTCAACCCCATAGGTCTATCATGTGTTCGATATTTGTCTCATTAAATCTATGATAAGCCACAGACTTATTATGCAGGAGGATACAAGGGTGACAAAGAGGGTTACCCAATTCCTACTGGGACTGATATCTTCATTTCTGTAAGTAGCAGCAGTTACATTTGCATTATTTGTTTATTAATCACATTTGCATTATTTGTTTATTAATCACATTTGCTATGCATATCTGAGTAATGTTTGCGAGAAGTAATTCATAAACTTGGAATTTAACTTGTTGCTCGCAAGCTCTTTCCTCCGGTTTCTTATTCATAACATTTTGTAGATAGCTTTGGTTATTAACACATTCTTTCAGGTGTATAATCTCCATAGGTCGCCTCACTTTTGGGATCGACCCCATGAATTTGAACCAGAGAGGTTTTTAGAGCAAAGGAAGAGTATAGATATTGAAGGATGGAATGGTTTTGATCCATCTCGAAGCCCCGGAGCATTATACCCAAATGAGGTTATGCCCTAGTCTTTATATGCTTGAAGCCTTAATATCTTGAACTCAACATTCTAAGATCAAGTTTGTTTTGATGGTTGCAATTACCAGGTTGTATCAGATTTTGCTTTCTTAGGCTTTGGTGGTGGACCAAGAAAATGTGTTGGAGACCAATTTGCTGTGATGGAATCAACTGTTGGTCTGGTAATGTTGTTACAGAAGTTTGATGTTGAGCTGAAAGGACCTCCAGAGTCTGTGGAACTGGTTACCGGCGCAACGATCCATACAAAGAATGGGTTGTGGTGCAAATTGACCAAGAGATCTAATGTCCATTGAATTGTACTTATAATTGTGCTCCATTCCGAATAAAGAATATTGTAACAGTTTGCAATATCAAATTTTCCCACTTCCATTCCAAAAAAGATCCGAGTCTCATTCTCATATATTGTTCCTAAATTGTAGATATTTAAAGACAAGATGATCTTGTACTAACTTATACAACAAAACGATTTTCTACATTTATATGTGCAACTTTTGAGAGATAAATTTACATCTAGAGGATTAGTTGACAAAAATTCTTGTGTATGGATGCCAACTGTTTCAACTACCGGGAGAGATGCTTCTCATGCAAATGCTTTGATGCAATGCCCTGAAACTGGGTGGAGTCTGGGGGATTTTGCTGTATTTAGAGAAAGAACCAAATTAGGAAAACAATCAAAGAGAACATTTCCAAATTAAAATGAACAATTGATTCATATGTAACACACCATATCTTGTAAACTATCCTGAATGTCAAAACACCCGTGCATGGTAGATGTTCTAAAACCAAGCTGTCCCTGCAACTATAGAAATCTCAATACATGAGACATTTATAAAGCCAAGTTGCTGCATGAAAACACAATAATCTTTTCTATCAATTACCAGTCCCTGTAAGCTCTGTTGAGTTCCATAGTGACTAACACGCGCTGGAATGGAATGTAATTGTCCCTGAATAGTAGCAAAATGAAATTGTCAGAACTAGATGAACTATACTGCTAGTGTTATATTATGTGATATATCAAAGACATAATAACAGCAACCACCATACCAGTCCCTGTATGCCCTGTTGATTGCCATAATAACCTTCCCGGATAGGAGAAACCGAGTTCAATTGTCCCTACAATAAGTATAAGATGAGGCTTAACCATCACCATGTACAAGACACAAAATTATATTCTTGACTTATATATTTGTAGTTACGACCAGAGATTCCATACCATGCCTTGCATACTTTGTTGAGAATCATAATAACCATCAAGAGTTGGTGCTCTTGAGGCTGCTTCCTACAAGAAGCCAAAATGAAAAACACTAGAATTAGAACCACACAGCAATTAAGTACATGGAAATGAACTTTTTCTCGCAATACATTATGGTCATACCATCTCTTGCATGTCCTGCTGAGGAACATAGCAATTATTAACAGTATGCGCTCTTGAATTCATCAACTCCTACATATAGCAAAACCCACAAGTTTTATAGTTATATAGCAACTGATGGCCTTTAATGCTTACGAACATAAACTACACAAAACTTCTATAATAAGTATTAATGCAAACCATCTGCTGGCAGCTGTCTTGCAATCCAATAACTGTTCTCCCAGGCTCTGGACATACCTAAAATATATAAAAGAAACCTAGCTCAAAGGCCAATTATATAATACAGCAAAGGAAAAGTTATATCATCAAAACTGAACTCTTGATAGACCTTTCTTTTCTTGTATGCTTTCTTTTTCTTGGATGACTTGGCCATATTGTTGCCTCGACTCTCCTCTTCAATGTCAAGAAAACCCTGACCAGACAATGTGTTTGCCTCCAAAATACCCTTGACAGAATTGTTCACACCCACACAATGTTTCAAGGCTTCTTCTAGTGCCTGAAATGCAATATCATATGCTACTTGAGATAAAGAACCTTCTTCACCCAATCTGATAGCTCGTTTACAGAGATCATTAAAACGCTGCACCCGGTAATGGAGTCTACTTGATATTTCACTAACATTTTGACTCATCTTTGCATCTCTGGTCCAGCGCTTTAGCATATAATGAGATGGGATTTCACAAAAACCAGACATTTGGAGAACAAGAATTGCATGCTTGCAAAGAAAGCCTCTATATTCAAATGAATGACATAAACAACATATATCCAACTCTGCTTCATTCCAAGCCACATAGAAATTCTGGCGTTCTTCAAAATCGTCAACTCGAAAGACTGCAGTTGTCCCATCTTCACTTTCCTTTTGCAGACGACAAGAAACCGCTCCTAAAACTTCAACCTGAAATTTCTTGAATATTGCATCTGTATAAATCGTTGACATTTGTTTCTCAAAAGCTGAGAGTGATCTTAATCCAGGTTGTTTATTTCGAGATTCATGATCAGCTTCAGCTTCCATTTCATATCTATATTGCAAAAATATTTTATACTGCCCAATGAACTCTTTGAATGTAGCTTCCTTGTTCATGTACTTGTCAAAGAAAGAAGTGATGCTTCCAGATCGCTCAGCCGTAGACATTCCAGCTAAAAATGCATTCTGCAGGTAAGTTGGGACCCATTTTCCACGATCTTCATACAATGAGTGCACCCATTCATTTTCCCTGAGTTCAAATTTATCAACCATCTTCGACCATCTCTTTTCAAACTGTTCATCCGTCCAAGATCGATAAATGCATTTATTAAATTTTGCCATGAAATTTTCATATTGATTTATAACACAACCCAAATTTGCAGAAATCATACTTAATACATGCCATAAACAAAAACAGTGTCGAGTGTTTGGAAAGACTTCTGCAACTGCTTCATTCAAGCATTTATCTTGGTCAGTGATAATCACTCTAGGAGCCTGGCCACCCACTGCTTTAAGCCATGTCTGCATTAACCAAACCAAAGTTGAAGTAGTTTCATCCCCAATTAATGCACATCCCAGCAAAATGAACTGGAAGTGATGATTTACTCCAATAATAGGAACATATGGAATTTTATAGTTGTTTCTGACATAAAAAGTATCAAAGAAGACTACATCGCTGAAATAGCTGTAATCATGCCTACCTTTCGCATCAACCCAGAAAACACTTCTCAAACGTTTTTCTTGATCCAAATCTATCGCATAATAGAAGTTAGGATTATCATTCTGCATACACATAAAATGCTCAAGCAACACTTGTAGATCTCCTTCATCAAGAGCCAGCTGCAAACCTTTCTTTTGAGAAGCAACTACACCAGATTGCTTGTTCCGCCCTCTCATAGCATGATAAAAATCATCCGGACAAATCTCATGATTGTGCTCTTTCACAAAACTATATATAACCCATTTTTCATCCTGCCTCCTCTTCATATGTAAGCCTGCATTACAGCCTGTCTTGGGACAAGATCGTGGATTGACAGTGGTACCAGACTCTCGCTTGCTTCCAAATCTAGAACATGCAATTTTCACATCAATAAACTTTCCAGACCTTTTTGAGCGTCTACTTGCTTTTATTGTGATGCCAAATCCCACAGACCGAGCATATTCTCTGTAGAAAGAATAAGCTGCCTCCTTCGTTTCAAATTCCAAACCATTCTGGGGCTCACAAATTAACCCTTTATGAACAACATTGGCTCCCACCGCATTCACATCCACCTGATCCCCACCACCAGTAACACCTTCACTTGCGCTTGGCACGCAGCCTTCCTCAACAGGTTCACTAGTCGAAGGAGAATTCATATCTCCATCCAACACATGTATCCTATCCACTCCATCCATAAAATCCTCATTTCTACTTGACCCATTCTCTAACTTCTCCTGCTCACGTGAAGGAAGTTCAAGATCTATCTCCATGAAAAATAAATAAATTTTTCACATCATTTCACTATAGCCACCTGAAATATATATATTTTTTTATAGAAAAATAAAATAAGAGATTGAAATTAGCCATGTCAAGAATTAATCATCAGCACAATATTTAACGCAAATATCATTTATTATCAAATTTTGTTTATCTCACACAATAACTATCATTGTTTTAAATGAAATTAACAAGAGGCTGCACTATAAAACTAGTTCTTTAACTAAAATCTCTTCCAAAACTGAATGGGTTGTTCTCAAAAACTTCATAATCTATAGATACGACCATATGCAGGAAAATGAACAATACCCAGTTAAGAGAAATGCAAAACTGAGACATCTAAATGGAGTTAGGGTTAGAACTTGACAGAATCAGTTTAAAACTTACTGTGTTGAGGAAGAGACTTCTATTGAGAAAATATTATGCGATTAAGAAAGAAAGATAGCCATTCTTCTTCTTCTTCTTCTTCTTCTACTCCCGCAAAAACACTAAAGAATCAAATAATTTATATTAATTCCAAGGTTTTATCTTATAACATCTAATTTAATATATATAATAATATCATAAAATATATATTTTTATGAGTTAAAATAAAATTTACATTAATCATGTTATAAAAATATAAATATGAACTTTAGGAGTTCAAGCTGTAGATTTTATTTTAATTTAAATAAATAAAAATTAATTGCATAAATAATGTTTTATTTGGTAAACATACCATTAACCCACCTAAAATGTGTGAGATGGTCCCATATGATTAGGGCAAATTTGAATGTATCCGATTTCAGGTTCGATTCTCCGTCTAAACATTTGCAATTTAAGAGAAGTTTAAATGGAGTGAAGATCCGTGACGGTGGATTGTTATACTCCCCAATATTAGTGAAGATGTGCATAACTTTATTAATTGATTATATGTGCAGTATAAAAAGGCTAGCTTGTTAACCTGACCAATAATGAAGGCATTACCTCTCTTTGTTTACTAGAAAGTAGAAATATGAGGCATAATCTAAAATCTTACTATCAATGTAATGAGAAAAATAGGCAATCAATCTGTTTATATCAAAAGGTAGCATAAATGCTATAAAGGGCATTCGACGTATAAATATTTCTGCATTGCTAAACTATAAATTCCTGGTACCAATACAAAATACACTTCAGAAGACAATAAAAGAGTTGGAAGAAAGGAGGGTTCTGATTAGAGTTACATGTATAATATACCACAACATCACATTAAATTTTCGAACATAGCTCAAATACAAACACCATTTACACAGATTATTGCAAAACTATATTAATGGCGACCAAACAACTGAATTCCCTGCATTATTGAATTTTTCCGAAAGACACGAGGTGTCGTCTAGCATTTGACGATTAGGGTTGATATAGGTTGCTCAAGTTCCAGACAGCAACTTCCTGTAAAGAATCGACTAGGAAGCCTTGTATCTACTGAGTTAGATATTAAAGATTTTGGTTCAACTAGAGTAATTGTATTGATCTTCTGCTGCCCGTTTATTGGAGGCTTTAAACTATTATTCTGACTTCCAGTTACACTCCCAGGTCAAATGTTATTCAAATCCATGAGGCAACTGTCTTTTCAGCGTATTCAGGGATGTCTTGAAGCACTACCATGCAACTGTGTTGATCTCAAATGGGGATTGTCCTGCAAATGGCACCATACAGCAACCATGCATTATGAAGCGCCATGTCTACAAGAAAGCTACATAAAAATACCTTATCTTCAATACCAACCGGCAAACTATAACTGAAACTAGTTGGAGGTCGGAAATCCATTTGTCCCTATACCAGTGAAAGCACAATTTAGGAAATTTCATCTTCTAAATCATATTGTCATAATTAAATTTATCTTCATGTCCATTATGTCAGATATAAGAAAAGCAGCAATACCAGCCCGTGCATGCTGTGCTGAGTCCCAAAAAAACCATCATGGGGAGCCATTGAAGTCAATTGTCCCTACAGGTACATGAAAACAACCTAATATTTTACAAAACGTTCACATAACCATTCTTTACAGATATAAATATGACAGTCTATATCAAGCACAATTTACCAGCCCCTGCATGCTCTGTTGATTAACATAGTAACCATCGTGGGGTGGCTCCATTAGATTTAACTGTACCTGCAATCAGATCCAGTCAAATACAACCATAACTGAAGCTCTGGTACTTGGATGAGACTGCATATCATAGCTTGTTAAATAGTCAAAACTAGAAAGAAATGCAATACCAGTCCTTGTACATTCTGTTGAGCACCATAAAAACCATTAAGTGTCATCCCATCAGAAGTTAGTGTTTCCTACAAGCATAATAAATTGAGATATCAATATCACACAAGACAAACTGCAGGTGGAACTAATTATTAGATTATGATAATTGGAATCATACTGCAGGTGAATTTAAATCCATCATGCTTCCTATGTGATTTTCTATTTAAAGTGCGTAGGGTAGGTGGAACAAAAATAGGACAAACCATTTGCTGCTGCAAGCTTTCTTGTGCCTCCACAAGTAAGACATCTGGCTCTGATTGTACCTGCAATACGAGGAAACATTCTTCAATAACCTTTTTCTATTTTCTCTTTTTTCTTTAAAATTTACACAAGAACAATAAAATCATTGTAGGAATATAAGCAAATTAATAATTCCAGTTGAAGAACAAACCTTTCTTTTCCTGATTGTATTCTTCTTCTTATTTGACTTCGTAGCAAGGCTTCCTTGATTTATTTCTTCAGCTTCTCGAAGACCTTGAGCGTGGTTACCATAGTCCATCACAGTATTATTAGAGTTGTTCACATTCACACAATTCTTCAGTCCATCAACTAATGCACGAAAAACAATATTGTAATTCTCCTCAGATAATGATCCTTGTTCACTCAAATCAATGGCTCTTTTACACAAATCATTGTAACGTTGCACCCTAGTCTGCGATATTTCCATGCCTTCAGCTATCAAAGGCCTGTTCTTTGCATCTTTTGTCCACCTTTTCAAAATGTAATGAGGTGGGATACTTGGGAGACCACAAATTTGTAGCACAATCATTGCATGTCTACAAAGGAAACCTTTGTATTCAAAAAGACGACAGAAACAAGAGACCTCTAACTTTGATTCATTCAACATTACCATAAAATCTTCATTTTTTTCACAGTCTTGAACTTTATACGTTACAATTGTTCCATCTTCACATTCCTTTTTAGGATGGCATCCAACTACACCCAAAACCTCCACTTGGAACTTCTTAAAAATTGCATGTGTGTAAACTGTTGACATTTGCTTTTCCCAAGGTGAAGGAGATTTCAGAGCAGGTTGTTTGTGCCATGTATCAAAATCTGCTATGGCTTCCTCTTCATACCGATTTTGCAGAATACTCCCATACTGCTTCACAAACTCTTTCAAAGTAATTTTCTTATGGATGTATTTATCAAAGAAAGAGTTTATACTTTCTGAACGCTGAGTGGTAGACATTCCAGCCAAAAAAGTATCCCCCATGTAAGTAGGCACCCATTTTTTACGATCTTCATATAGTGATTGAACCCATTCATCATCTTGAAGCTCAAAACGAGTCACCATTTTCCACCATCTCATGTCAAATTGCTCATCAGTCCATGATTTAAATATGCACTTCTGGAATTTTGACAAGAAATTCTCATGCCGTTTGATTACATGAGCAAGAATTTCAGGTATTTTCTCCCAGATATTCCAAAGAGAAAAGCAATGACGTGTATTCGGAAAGACTTCTTCAATTGCAGATTTCAACGTTTTGCCTTGATCAGAGATTATGACCTTGGGAGCTTGCCCACCCATTGCTCTGAGCCATGTCTTCATTAACCAAACAAAGGTAGATCTACTCTCATCAGCAAGGAATGTGCATCCTAGCAACATTGACTGACAGTGATGATTCACTCCAACAAATGGAGCAAAAGGCAGTTTGTCATTGGTATTGACATAAAAGGTATCAAAAGAAACAACATCATTGAAATAGATATAATCATTCCTACTTTTTGCATCAACCCAGAACAAATTTCTCAGGCGTTGCTCTTCATTTAAATCTATTGCATAGAAAAACTTGGGATTCTCCTTCTTGATACGCTTAAAATACTCGAGCAAAACTTGAGCATCTCCTTCATCCAAAGACAAGTACCGGCCTTTATCAAATTGATTATCTATATGAGTTGAGAACCCAGCATTGGGATGCCCACCAGATTGTCTCGACATGTCGACATATATCTTTCTTGTCCGTTCACTAACGGCATGCAAAATGTCTATATTATTCTTTTCAGCTAATTTTACATTCCTTTGAATTCGAAAATGATATGCTAGGGCAGGTAAAAGCTCATGATTGTGCTCCTTAATAAATTCATGAATAATCCACTTCCCATCAGGCCTTCTCTTCACATGCATACTGGCTTTGCAATCTGTCTTCTTAACACTTGATCGCCGACTACTACCACTATCCGATTCTGGTGTGACCCCATACCTCGAACATGCAAATTTGGCATCAATAAATTCTTTTGACTTCTTCGAACGCCTACTATTCTTTATCGAAGTAGTAAATCCCATAGACTTGGCATACTCCTGATAAAACGAGTAGGCTGTTTCATGTGATTCAAACTCAATCCCATTCCGCAGCTCAAAATCCGCTTCCCCTTCAAACCCCACAACAGGCAATTTAGGTGAATCAACCACAAGATCTCTCCCATGTATTTCATCCACAACATCAACCATATTTTCACTCACACCAACACCAAGCATATTATTCCTACCACCACCCACCATATCCTCTACCACATTTTGACTCCTCCCTAACATTATCATTTTTCACCAAAGACTATTTTAACTCTATTTCCATCAACCATTTCCACTCTAAGCAGCACATCATTATTCATAATGCTACCTGAAAACAAACTTATTATTCATTTAATTTACTCAAACAAAGTTTTCCATCATAGCGCAGTAATTTTGTGTACAACAGTAATAACAAAGCAATAGAATTTTACATACATAATCAGACTAGCTCAAAATTAACAATTAAAACAAACAGCACCCCTATATCACCCATCCTCTGTTTAGTTGCCGAGAAAAGGAGAGAAATTACTTTCTCAGATTTTTCTCGGCACACAGAAAATGAAAGGGGAAAGAAGTTCAGAATCATAAGTGTCAATTGTTTTTCCCTTTTTTAAAATTTTCTCGGCAACCAAACAGAAAATTACGAGGGAAATAAAAAAATTGAAAGAGGGAGAGGGAGACCTGAAGTGAGATCAGAGCGAGTGAGGAAGAGGCGAGTGAGGGGGCGAATTAGGGTTTGATTGCACTCGCTCACTCGCCAACTCAACTCATCTGGATTTTGATTTGGAATTTGAATCTGATGTTCTCCACTCGCTTTTCTCACTTGCTTCTTTCGTTCGTTTCTTCTGCGCGCGTTAAGCCCTTCGTTTTTCCTTATCTCTTCCCTTATTTGGTAATCTTTTTTGTCTTTTCCGTGGGAC